ATATTAAAAAAAATTAAAAACATTGCTGCAGTTATTATTATTATTATTTTATCTTTTGTAATTCTGGGATTATCAAACAGGAAGTTCAGTTTACCCACAGGTCTTTTTTTTTTAAAGATTTTATTTATTTATTTTTAGATAAAGGGGAAGGGAGGGAGAAAGAGAGGGAGAGAAACATCATCATGTGGTTGCCTCTTGCATGCACCCTACTGGGGACCTGGCCTGCAACCCAGGCATGTGCCCTGACTGGAAATCGAATCAGTGACCCTTTGGTTCACAGGCCCGTGCTCAATCCACTGAACCACATCAGCCAGGTTTGCTGCAATTATTTTTTTAAAAATAAAAAGATAAGACTCAGAAAGAATCTTTGACACTCCCCTCTTTCCTGCCTGAGAGACTCACCTACCTCAGGAAGAAAATCTTAAGGTGTTCATTTTAGCAGCCTAACTTGAATTAGTATGGTGGATGGGAGGGTGTCAAACAGGGGTCTGTTTACTAGATTACCCCATCTCATTGTTTCTCTGTTGCCTTGCAAAAATTTACCTGCCATGAACACATGTTCAGTTTTTCCTCAGCTACTTGTGAATCTCCCATTCCCACTTTTGAAATCTCAGACCCCTACCCCCCACTTTTATCCTTTGTCCAAAATTACATATACACAATTTTACCTGTCTTTCAAATGTTAATGCTTCTGTGAATTTCCCATGTGCATGTATTAAAAATTGGATTTTCCTGGCTGGTGTAGCTCAGCGGGCTGAGAAGCAAAGTGTTGCAGGTTTGATTCCCAGTCAGGGTACATGCCTGGGTTGCAGGCTATGACCCCCAGCAACCGCACATTGATGTTTCTCTTTCTCTTTCTCCCTCCCTTCCCTCTCTAAAAATAAATAAATTTTAAAAATCTTTACAAAAATGGATTTTGTCCCATTATCTGTCTCTGGTAATTTGATTATTAGCCTAGTCTGAAGAATTTAGAAGGGGAAAGGCATATATATATATCCAAAAGGGGTTCCTGCTAACTCACCAGAGTCTTTCCTCTTCTGGCTGCACATCAGTTTCAGCTGCTCCTGGAGCTACTTGTCTCTCTTTTTGAAGTTCTCACTAGAACTATCCAAGAAAAATTTAGGGTTGCCCATATTTAAGTCAAACCACTATTACCAGAAACCCAATGTTTTGCCTTGGGCCTGCCTGTCTGCACGCATTGGCCCAAAAGAATGCACAAAGAGTTTGCAATATAGAAAAAAATCATCTTATATTCAAATTGGCCAATTCGGAGATGAGAACCTAATGTGCTAAAGACCCAACTCCCCAGTAGTGTGTAGGTTACAGATTATACAAGGCAAAATTAGAAAATACTGTGGATTATTGGGGTTTGGGGTAGTGCTGGGAGCCGATTGGTCAGAGGTGAGATAAGGGTAATAAATCATTTCTTCAGGTCTTGAAGACAGCTCTGAGGTCTTTTCAGGCATCCTTTGGTCTGGTCTCATGAGAAAGTAGCCAGAGGGAACTGAAACAGTAGGTCAAGATGTTTTCTTTAGCCTCTCAGATGCCCAGACCTTATAACCAATAGTGAGATCTCAACCACTGTGTTCTGCTGCCTTGGGGGTTTCTGATTACCCAGGGGAAAGGCTAAGTCTTTGAAGGGTATAGAGAGAGACAGCATATGATTTCTAGAGCTAAAATTTAAAGTTAAACTTAATTGAAGTTATAAGGACCCTAAGTTTCACCACTCCAGACAAATCTCTGGAATTTGGTGTAAATCAACCCAACCAACTTTAATTATTCAATAATAACAGAAATAATTTACTGTCCTTACTCAATAAGAACAACAGCAATATAAATTTACCTTCCTTAACAAAGGGCAACAAAACAGCAAAAAAAAAACAACAACAAACAAACAGAAAACAAAGAACAGTCACCTTGAAAATAGCATAGGAGAGGGAAGGGTAGAAAAGGAGGTGGCTACTGCAATGGTGTGAGAAATGATCAGGTCCTGAATGAATGCAGTTCTTTGGGTTTGGAGAGGGGGAAGGACTGGTCTTAGGAAAGTGTAGGATGCAGAATTGGCAAGTTAAATGATTTATTAGAAGGAAGGTGGGGTAAGAAAAACATTGAGCACTTAACTGTGCTGGGCCTTCACATATATAAATACATTTAATTAGCCCATAGATTTGAAAAGCAGGTTTAAATAAGCTTAGGTAGGGCCTGATGCTAGCTATTGTTTCTCCACACGAGGCAGGCCAAGTCAACGTGAGCAAATGTTATAATAAAATGTAGGACAAGAAAGAACTACACTTGCTTTTGGATAAGGCCAAGGTTATTATTGCGACAGATTGAATAAGATCAAAGTCATGTTATAAAGACATGTTTTTCTTGAGCGTCAGACAAGTTGGTTTCCAGAAGGAAATGAATCTTCAGGTTGGTGAACTATGTTAGATTTTAAGTACATTAGGATGAAACCAACATCTCATCTGTGGCCTCCTTCCCCCTTCCACCAATGGCCCACAACTCCATTCTGACAGGGGTCAGCAAAAACAAAGTTGAGAGGAAATCTTTTAACACTCTGAGAATGATGACAAAGGGAAAATTTGCAAGACTAAAAACTGGATTGGAGGGCTGGGTCTACATTGTTCTGCAGAGAGGTAGGGTTTGAGGAAGATGGGGGCTGGGGCTTGGAAAGGCTTGAAGGTGAGGATCTCGGCCAGAGCAAGACAAACATCTTTTTGGAAAACTGGGGTAACCTTTTCGGATACCCAACGGGAACTTAAGTAATGAGCTTATGCCCTTCTGGCAGTACAAGAGTGCAGATTATCCAAACCAAGGGCAGAAATCTCATTGTTCTTGTTATTTCCCATGGCGTTGGGATTCTTCTCTGGCCCCCAGCTAACGAGTTTCTGGGTCCAGGAATGGCGGTGGCAATGGTGGGGTTGGGGTTAAGAATAATCTTATTCTTTGACCAATGGATGGACAGTGGCTTATGTCCCTATTATGGACGACAGGACAGCAAAGGCATCAACTGGCAGAGAAGTCCCAGGCGGCAGCAATGGTAAGGCTGAGTCCCCTTCTTTCCTCTGTTTCTAAGGTCAACTAGAGATATTAAGAGGACACAGAGTGGGTATACATTTTCCGAGGTAGGGACTGACACACTTAGATACTATTTGCTGATTAGGCCCAGGGATTCAGACTGAGGTTTCCATCTTTCATAGTGGGTGACCCACATTTTAGTATTGGGTATGTGCAGGTGCTACTGATGAGGCAGAAAAAGAAGGAAAAAATGTGTTGTGTTGTACTAGAGTGCTGAGACTTGATACTCATATTTTTAAAATCTTGGTGGCCAGAACGTGGGAGAATCTGCTGTTCTAAAGCCGCTTGTAGTTTTGGGATTTACTTTTTGAATGAAAACTGCCCTTTTGTTTTGGGGAATCTCTTCCCAATACTTGAGTGGTGTTCTTAGTTTGGCAAAAGCAAAGACCAACTCTTAAAGTGGAATGGACATTTAGCACACAGCTAAACTAGCTAAACTGCTCTGCATAATACTACCAACGTTAGTCATAAGTTAACTGGTGGTCCTGCCTGAAATAAGTTGGGGTCGAGGTGGAGGGGAAATTCTTTTCTATTGGTGGTTTGTAAAAGATGCTGAGAAGAGTGGAGAGATGACTTTGGGAAGGAGAGTCCTCTTGGGAGCCAGTGGACTATAGACGCTGTACTTGTGATAGCCACTTGTAAATCTTCTAGGCTTTGTAATCCTCCTATTACAATATTCTCAAACTTTCAGTAACATCTTGGTGTTAGCTGTGTTTTGGAAAATTAAGGAGGGGGCCTATGTCCAACTTAGGATTTGCTTCCATACTGTAAGAACTGCCTCCTGCCCCCAAGCCAGAGTGGTAGTAGCCACAGGTGGGTAGCTAGTGGTTCTGGAACTCCAGGGGGTGGCTTGCAGCAGAATTCCAGAACACTGATTATTGAACAAAGGATGAGGCTATAATGGGGAGTGCCTGTGTTCAAGTTAAAGCAAGTCTGGAAGTCTGGCCTTAACTGAGTTACAGGTAAGGATCAAGTGCAGTCTGGGAGGAACTTGGGTATGAAAACCTGTGAAGATTCCCAGCACTGGGGGTGGGGATTGGATTTTTTAAAATCGCTGAGTAGGGTGGTACTTTTACTGTTGTTGATAATTAACCAGAAATGTGACTTCTAGATACCAGAGAGTAACTAACAGCACACCCTGCCCGCCCAGGGGAGGGGACTAGTAGCTACTAGTAGGCCACAGGTGCCTTATAATTCTTAAGCTTCTGTGAAGCCTTCCTGGAGTTCGGCCCTTTCCTTTTCCCCTGCATGTGGTTTTCCTTTCTCTGGTGCCTACTGCACTTTGTATATACCTTTATCACAGCAGCCAATTGTCTTGTAATTTGTAATCTCGTCTCTACCAGTAGACCTCTAGAGCGGGTGTGGCGCTGATTCTCAGACCCCAGTTCAAATTCCAGCCAAGTCACTAGCTAGCTTTGTGACTTTAGGCAGATTACTTAACAGCTCTACACCTCGATTTCTTTATTAATTAAAAACGGGCACAAGACTCCATTGCCTGTGGTTGCTGAGAGAAATGAAGGTTACAGTTCATGTCAAGTACAAGGTATAATCAAAATAGAGAACTCCTAGTATAAGAAACATTTGTCAATTAACCTGACCTACCTATATTTTGTGTATTCAAACATTTACTCAGTACCAACTATATTTCAGGCCCTCGGAGCGCTCCCTCCCTGATGTAGAAGCCTCACAGGTAGCCGGTGGGCCTTGTCCCGCGAGCCGTCTCAGGATTGGGTCCACTAAAGGGAAAACCCCGCCCACATCGCTTTTCGTCTCTTCAATGATTGGGCTGGGGACATCCCGGAGGAGGTGGGTGCTAGGTTGCGCGTGCGTAGATGGGGGACAAAGATGTCTTCCGGTGGGGCGGGAGGGGGTGACGTCAAGAGCGGTGGCAGGCGGGGTCCTCCCGTAGCCCTGGGGACGTTGTATCTGTGGGCCTTCAGATCGCGTCACAAGTCGGCGACTGAACCTTGGCTGTGGTGGCTGAGACGGCGAAAGCGGCAGCGGCGGCGACAACTCTGGGGTTTGTGTCTCGGGGTGTGTCGGCCGCCGCTGCTGCTTGGGCTTGGTATGTACAAATGGCTGGTTAGGATTCTCGGCACCATTTTTCGCTTCTGTGACCGGCCGGTGCCCCCTGCCCGGGCCCTCCTGAAGAGGCGACGCTCGAACAGGTGAGCCGGGAGAGGGCTGAGTGCGGGCCTGTTTGTCGCCGTCCCCCTCCCCCACCCCAGGCTCAGCCGAGAGCGCTGATCCAGCCAGGCAGGCCCGGCTCAGCCTAAACTCAGCCCAAATGCGTAGCTGGGCCGCGGTGGTAGAGGTGCTGGTCGCGGGTGTCCCGGTGACGTAGTAGCTTCCTTCATCCTGCACGGATGCTGCTCCTGATGATGGAAGGAGCTAGTTGTCTTTGGAGTGGCAGGTAATGATTAGGATTTTTGATGTTCTTGTCGGAGTCCATGCTGCTTCCTGTTAATAAATGGGGCTTTATCATACTTTGCCGCTCTTAGGTTGAGAACTAAAAAATTGTTTTGGCTCACTGCTTACAAAGCACACTTCCATATGTGATCTGGGCAATAACTGCCGTTAAGGGAAATTAGATAGCTAGCTTGCTCAAGGCCGTTTTGGCTGCAAATACTGTCCTCTTAGCACCAAGACAGTAGCTGTCTTGTTCTGAAACAGCTGTCCAACTATGTGTGTGTGTGTGTGTGTGTGTATTTGGGGAGAAAGGTAGGGAGAGTGGTTCTTTCCTTTAGAATTAGCGTATGAGGGAAAAAAGGTACTTCATTCCTTTAAAAAGATCAGTATTCTATATTTGAAGCTAAAATTTTGGGGAAACCAAAATTTGTTCTTACATAACATTTATTCCTTGGTCTGTCCCATTATTTATAGTGTGAGCCCCCTTCCTTAAGAATTAATTGAGAGTATAAAATACCATACCAATTCTATACACCTCCCCCCCAAGCTTTTAGATCAAATTTTCTTTCTTTTTCTTTTATTAAGCTTCAAGATCATTGAAGGGTAGTTTCTTGGAATTTGAGAGAATAAGATGATTAATATATGAATCTGAGAATGCAGATTATTGTTGAAATAGAGTGTTGAACCCTGGCTGGCTGGCTCGTTGATTGAAGCATCCTCCTGTACACCAAAAGGTGGTGGGTTCCATTCCCAGTGGGGTCTCTCTCTCCCCGTCTTTCTCTCTCTCCTTCTCCCTCTAAAATCAATATATCCTCCATTGAAAATTAAAAAAAGAAAAAAGAAATAGATTGTTGATGTGTTCCAGAGAGAGCAAGGTTTCAACTCTGTCTTCCTTTCTACCTTTCTGTAAGGTTGATATAAGCATCATTTGAGAATATTTTGTAATAGAATAAAGCTTACTATATATACATAGTATTTAGAGGGCCTTGTGCAGAGGTTGGTGCATGATACATACTTGATACATATTTGTTAAATAAAGGAATGTGAGTTTGCTCTCCCCTGTCCTCTCTTTTTGCTTTGAATCCCCCGCTAGTCAGGGAAACTTTAGTTTGGAGATGAAAACCCTGTTCTCACCACACATCCTTAATCAAAAACAGCTCTTCTCAAGGTAAGCCATTTTTCAGTCAAAATGAAGCCAGGAGGTCTTGTTGGGATGTTTAAAATAATGACCTGAATGGTATATTCCTGGGATTTATTCCGTTCATTTTTTGTAAATAAGACCAATCACAATCATCTTCAGAAAGGTGATTATGGGTGGAGAAGGGCAAATGAGGACATCTGTAATAGTGTCAGTAAAAAAATAAAAATAAAAAAGGTGATTATTAGTGTACCATGAACCTTTAACATTGTTGAGATATAGGTCCAATAACTTCTGAGTTTTCAATTTCTTCATTACCACTGTTTCCAAAAAGTGCAGTTAAATATATAACAGCTTTTCTGGCTAAGAACTATCTTTCAAAATGTCATCTTTTTTTAAAACTGTTTTGTTTTTTTTAATTTACTGATTTTTAGAGAGAGAGAGGTATCAATGTATTGTTTCACTTATACATTCATTGGTTGATTCTTGTATGTGACCTGATTGGGAATTGAACCCACAACCTTGGTACATCAGGATGACACTCTAACCAACTGGGCTACTCCTCCAGGGTTGGGGGTATCATCTTTCAAAAGGAAATTATTCGTTATTTTTAAGTCATTGCCTGAGAGAAGAACCTGGGCCCTTACCTCTGTTAATTTACTAAGCCAAATGGCTTCTGGCCGGTTTCAAGTTTGTACTTTAGCTAGACTACAGATTACTATATAGTAGGGAGTTTTGGGCTTTCTCAACTAGTTGAAATGATATGGTTAAGTCCTACTATGGAGTAGCATTCTTTTTTAAAACCTCGGTTTGATCTCATTTTATGGCAGAGTGGATAGAGAAAAGTGTGTCTCATAAACACTAAGCTTACTTACAGAAATGGGTGTGTGTGTGCGCGTGCATATCTGTATATACATTTTTAATTTCTTCTCTTTTTTTAGCACTTCGCTATCCACAGTGGACACTGATGAAATACCAGCCAAAAGACCAAGATTAGGTATTGAATATTAACTTTAAAAATTAGTGTTTTAGCAGCAGTCCATCGCCTTCACCACTTGCCACCTCGCCCCCATGTAAAAATTAGTATTTTAATAGGAAAACTATATGCATGTAACAGAATTCAAAAGGTAAAAAGCATACAAAGTGAAAAGTAAGTCTCTTTCCTGTTCTTTATCTACTCAGTTATCTTTTCTGGATGTAACTGCTTTTACCAGGGGATTATGTGTCCTTCCAGATAGATAAGCCTTATAGGTTTAATATACATTTTCTTAAAGCTTTTTGAAAAATATACATTCTAAAAATATACATTCTAAAATTCTAAAATTCTTCCTATAAAGAAAAGTTGCCCTTTAAATTTTAGGAGAAAACATTGTAAAAACTACTTCAAACTGTCACCTGGTTCAGATAGGTGAGTGAACCAGTCTAATGTGTTGCCCCAAATTGTTTATTTCCTTCTTCCTTACAATCTGAAGGGCTAGAGATCATTTGATAGAAGAGAATAAAACTATAGCAAAGGGAAAAGGCATAATGGAATACTATAATACTACTTTCCTCTTTTCAAAAATGCATGTGAATTTGGATGTACCTGCAGACGTGGTAGTGAAGAGTGGGCATGTCTGTGTTAAGATTTCATTTAAATCTAATGAGTACTTAGCACTCTTACTAAGTGCTGACTTAGGTTCTACAGGAAATACAAAAATAAGAAGACAGGATCTCTATTTTAAAAACCTTACAGTTATAAAGGTATATGATTATATAGTGGGGAATATAAGAAAAGCACATAAATAATACCAATGTCAATGAGACTATGGTAATGAGATAAGAAAGGTAGTAACAAAATACTGTCCAGTTTTCAGCTAGTTAATAGTCTCTGAATATTCGATGAAGGAGCTAGTATGTGAGATGGATCTTGAAGGATGGATAGGATGTCAGCAGAGAACAAGGGAAGGAAAAGCTTTCTAGGGAGAGGGAAAGGATTGGGAAGTTGTGCTATTGAGGCACTAGTGAAGAGAACTTAGGGAAAAAAGTTAGCGAAAGAGGTCAAATTGTGCAACACTTTGAATGCCAGGAATATCCAAATTCATTAGGATGATATTTCCCAAAGCACAGGGTAAATACCAGTCAGGAAATGATTTAGGAGGTACTATGTTCATAATATTAAATAACATTTGAATTATGTTGTATGCTAAAAAAGTTGTAATCTTTTCAGTTGTTCTAAATTTCTGATTATTTTAAGGAGCAAATCGTGGTTGAATGTGTAGTTGGTCTTTGATACTTGTCTAACACAACCTTTGAACAACATGGGGGTTAGAGGAATTGACTGCCCCAGGAAGGTGAAAATCCATATATAACTCTGGACTTCCCCAAACTAATTTAACCACTTACGTTGATTGGAAGTCTTACTGATAAATAGTTGATTAACGTGTATCATATATATTATGTGCTGTATTCTTACAATAAGGTAAGCTAAAGAAAAGAACATCATGAGGAAAACACATTTACAGTATTGAAAAAATCTGAGTGTAAGTGGAACTGCACAGTTTGAACCTTTGTTATTCAAGGGTCAACTAGAACATAATCTGTTGTGTTTTCATTTCTTTCCTTTTTTTATTCTTCACCTGAGAACATTTTTTTATTGTTTTTATTTTTATTTTTTAAAAATATTTTCAGAGAGGGGAAGGGAGAAAGAGGGGGAGAGAAACATCAATGTGTGGTTGCCTCTTGTGTCTCTCCCCCCAACCCCCCGGGACCTGGCCTGCAACCCAGGCATGTGCCCCTACCAGGAATTGAACCAGTGACCCCCTGATTAACAAACAGGCTGCCATTCAGCCCACTGAGCCACACCAGCCAGGGCACATTTTTTCATTGCTATTAGAGAGAGAGGGTGAAGGAGGGACAGAGAGAGAGGAACATTGATGTGAGAGAGAAACATTGATCGGTTGCCTTTTGCATGTGCCCTGACCAGGGGACTGAACTGCAACCTAGGTATGTGCCCCTAACCTGGAATCAAACCCACAGCTTTTTGGTTTATGGGATGATGATCCAACCAACTGAGCCACACAGGCTAGGGCAGTGTTTCAAAGGCAAACAATGTTGTTTTACATTCACGGTAGTAATATAAAATTATCCAAAGAAACCCAAAGCACTAACTCAATGGAATATAGACACACCCATGTTGATTGAAGCATTATTTATAGTAGCCAAGATATGGAAGTAGCCCAAGTGTCCATCAATAGACAAGTGGATAAAAAAAACTTTGGTGCATTTATATGATGGAATACTACTTGGCCACAAAAAAAGAATGAAGTCTTAACATTTGTGACATCATGGATGGACCTCGAGGGTGTTATGCTAAGTGAAATAAGTCAGACAGAGAAAGACAAATACAGTATGGTTTCACTTATGTGGACTCTAAAGAACAAACAAAATAGAAACAGACACACAGATACAGAGAAGAGACAGATTGTTGCCAGAGGGGAGGGAGGGAGGGGACTGGGTAAAAAAGGCAAAGGGATTGAGCCAGTGTGGCTCAGTTGGTTGAATCAGCGTCCTGTAGGCCAAGGGCACAAGACTGGGTTGTAGGTTTGGTCCCCAGGCTGGTGCATGCCAGAGGCAACTGAGTGATGTTTCTCTCTCTACCTGTGTCCTTCCCTTCCCCTCTCTAAGCACATACAAATTGGTAGTTACAGAATAGTCACAGAGATATAAATTAAATTAATAGCATAAGGAATATGTATCTTAATAACTGTGTGTGGGGCCAGGTGGTTACTTGAAATATCAGGGACTAACTCTGTAAACTACACATTTTTAAAGCCACTGTGCTGTACATGTGAAACTAATACAGAATGATATTGAATGTAAACTGTAATTGAAATTTTTAAAAAGTTTCCTTCCAAATACATTTGTTTAGCAGAAAAAAGTGAGTCAATTTTACAGAAAAATATAAATAAATAATGGTATGTGATAAAAAACAGAACAAAAACCATTGACAGTGAAATTACAGAAGTTTCCTGAAATAATTTTTTCAATCATCCATTTTATAGACTTCTGTGTTAAGGGTCTCTTCCTATGTGATTTCCATGAGTAGAAAACTGGAAGGGAACCTAAGGCACAGGGGAAGCAGTGAGTAGCAGAGGTAATACTTACTGGCAGAATTTGTAGAGATTTATAGCAGTGCTCTTCAATAGAACTGTGTGCCAGGATGGCTTCTGAGCACTTAAAGTGGGGTTAGTGAGACCTAGGAACTGAATTGAACTTTAGTTAACTTGAAGCTTAGGTAGCTTACATGTGGCTGCTGGCTACTATAACAAGCACTACAACTCTTGGTTGCTTTTTAGGAAGGGTAAAAGAAAGGAAGGGGAGGGCCTTAGAATTTCAGGCTCATGATTTATAGAAGAAGGGGATTTTATGAGATCTACTTTGTTTAGTCTCAGGAAAATAAGTGGTCTTATCCCCATTTTATAGATGAGATAAACCCCCCCCCCCTTGCCTTTTTTCCCCAGTCAGTGAAAACTTTTGACATAATCTTGGGCATGCTCAGATTTTGACAAAATTTATGGGAAAATAAATAATGCATTACTTTTTAGTGTCCACTATTTAACTGTGTTGTTAAGAGGAGTACCTCTTTTCTTCTGGGTTTGGATGACTATCTGTGGGTTAAGCATCAACCTTAAAGCTCTTTTTCTCCCATGTAAAGCTCAACATTGTTAGAGGGATAACCTGGAATTCTTTCTAATTCCTAAAATAAGAAACAGGTTATTTGCAAACTTTCATTCTGTTAACTGCTTTCTAGTTACAGATTACTTCAGATTGGATTCTGTTTTACCCAGCCATCACATTTTCCCTGCTGTTTAAATTATTCCCTTTCTGTAAAATATTTTGTCTTATGTGTTCTAAAAGCCATCATTTCAACTTCAGACTATTTTCTCTAGGGCAGAATGTGGCTGAAATGATGATCTTTTCAACTGGTGCTTTAGAATACCCTTAATTAGGACATAGAAAAGAAATTGTAGAAAATAAGTGATCAATGTAGGAAGTAAGAAAGGGACAGTGAGAAAAGGAGGAAGTTGGGCCCCTCCCCCATGTTTATTTCCTTATTTTTTTAAAAAGATTTTATTTACTTTAGAGAGAGGGTAAGGGAGGGAGAAAGAGAGAAACATCAATGTGTGAGAGATACATCCATCGGTTGCCTCTCAACACACCCCCAAATGGGAACCTGGTCCACAACTCAGACTTGTGCCCTGACTGGAAATTGAATTGACAGCCTTTGGGTTCATGGGCCAGTGCTGAATCCACTGAGCCACACCATCCAGGGCTATTTACTTATTTTGTAAACTTCATGTTTGATTGGCAGGGAGGGGTGAGTCTGAGATCTTCCAACACATCTCTGGTAGAGGGATAGCTTTGTTTTATCATAGATGTTTAAGAATTATATATCTTCATTTTATTTTACTTTTTATTTTAAAGATTTTATTTATTTGCCCTGGCTGGTGTAGCTCAGTGGATTGAGCGCAGGCTGCGAACCGAAGTGTCGCAGATTCGATTCTCAGTCAGGGCACATGCCTGGGTTGCAGGCCATGGCCCCCAGCAACTGCACATTGATGTTTCTCTCTCTCTCTCTCTCTCTCTCTCTCTCTCTCTCCCCCCCTCTCCCCCCTTCCCTCTCTAAAAATAAATAAATAAAATCTAAAAAAAAATAAAAATTACAAAATAGCACAATATTTAAAAAAAAGATTTTATTGATTTATTTTTAGGGAGGGGAAGGGAGGGAGAAAGAGAGAGAGAGAAACATCAATGTGTGGTTGCTTCTCATGTGACCCCCACTGGGGACCTGGCCAGCAACCCAAGCATGTGCCCTGACTGGGAATCAAACCTGCGATGCTTTGGTTTGCAGCCTGTGCTCAATCCACTGAGCTATGCCAGCCAGGGCCCAGAATTGTATATCTTAATACTTTACTAATTTCTAACCTGGGTGTAGCCAAAATACAATAGGCACTTAATAATTAGTTGTTTAGGACAACTGTATTGTTACCTGCCCTGGAAGTAAGGACAGACCAGGGAGTAAGTGTATTTCCTGTAGGAGTCTGCCATACATAGTGACTATAAGCTCCATGTTGTTAAGTTATGCTTCTGTCTCTTGGGTATAGATTTCTTTTTGTATATTCAGGAGAACTCATTGCTTGGAAGTTTTTGTTTCAGGACTTTTCTGTGTGTGAATCAGTGAGTGATTTGTTAAACTGATGGTTTCATATTTTTGTAGTTTCACAGATATTTTACCAAAAAAAAAAAAACAACCCCAAAAATCACAGTGCTGGGCCCTGGCTGGCATGGCTCAGTGGATTGATTGCTGGCCTGTGATCCAAAGGGTCACTGATTCGATTCCCAGTCAGGGCACATGCCTGGGCTGCAGGCCAGGTCCCCAGTGAGGGGTGTGTGAGAGGCGACCACACATTGATGTTTCTCTTCCTCTCTCTCTCCCTCCTTCCCCTCTGTTAAAATAAATAAAATCTTTTTAAAAATCACAGTGCTGGAATTCCAGTTATTCAAGTAGGAGAAAAACTTTTTTACAGATACCTTTTTATTTCAATGATTAAAAATGGGACTCCTAATAAAAATTGAAAAACCTTTTTACAGATACAATCTTATGTTTTGCCTGAAGTTTAATACTTTGTACTTATATGTATATGTAATTTGTATGTGATCTATATTACATGTTCTAGATTGCTTTATTCACCAAGTGAAAAACAGTCTCTATAATGCTGCCAGCTTACTTGGAATCCCACTCCAGCTGACCACAAAGCCCATGGTAGCTTCTGCTTGTAACGGAACACGGAATGCAGCCCCTTCAGGAGAGGTCAGTGGGGCTGGGGCTTTGTTGGGGTTACTGACTTTTGTACTTAATCATTAAAATTAAATTGGGGAAATGCTCTCATTTTAGGAATTAATGTATACAATGTTTTCTTTCCAGAAATGTTCATGTCTTTGTTAGTCTTGGTATAAAGGGCAAAATATTAGAAGTTAAGAAATTACATACTTAAAAATATATATAAAGAGCCTAATTACTAAATAATAAGTATGTTTGAAGACCCTGGAATTGCTATTTTTTTACACCATTTGTGAGTCTTTGCAAATCAAACCTCGGGTTTTATTGATGGTATTTCTTTTCTGTGAGCTAGCTAAATTATCAATAGAATGGTTTGTTTTCTATTAGAAACTTAAATTATAAAATTATGTACTATAGAGATCATTCTATTTGATTTTAAGGTATTTGCGAACTCTTCATCTTGTGAACTGACAGGTTCCGGATCCTGGAACAACATGCTGAAACTGGGTAAGTTGGTCAAAAATACTTCTGTTTCCCCCATCTCCTCCTGCTTTCTTTTTTTCTGAGTTTTGAGAAAATGAAAGGAAAACACTTATTTGGGTTGGGATGAAAACACAGACATTCTATCATTCTAAAAAACATAGCTTTCCTTTAGAATTGTCTTTGAATTTACTGTGTTTTCTATTTATATTATCAGTGTCCTTAATGTGACTTAGACCAAGTTTCATTCATTACAAAACAAAATAAACAAAAAACACAAACATTTCCTGAGAGTTCACTCTGTGGCAGGCACTGTGCTAAGTTATCAGAAATAATAAAATAATAAAACCTTTAATAACAAAACAAATAGCAATAATAAAAATAGTAAAACTCTGCCTTTGAGGGACATCATCTGATTGAGGAGAAGTCTGAGGTTCTCATAGCTTTTATGGATTGGGAACCTCTATGTCACCCATACCCTGGAATTTAAATGTAATTACTGAGTGTTCTGTACATTATGCTCTGGTGGGAGAATAGGAAGAAGTCAGAGTCCTGAAAATGGTGTGATCCCTGCCAGGCAGGTGGGTTTGTAGAGTTTGAAAGGAAGGGGAAAAGAGCTTTTAGAGAAGTTGTGGGTTCAGAATTCGAAAGTGGAAGAAGCTAAGGACATGATAAAAACCTTCGAGCAGTGCTTCTCAAACAGGCTTTTAAAGTAAAGTGCCTCTGGTGGCAGAGGAAGGGAAAGGAAAGGAAATGTGTACCCTTGAGTCTGAGAATCTCGTTCTAAGGGACCTGGGACAGAGATGATACTTTTTTGAAGTCTTGAATCTTATTTTAAAAGTTAATACAAATTAAATTTTATAATCTATTTATATTGTTTGAATATATAAATGTTTAAAATTATTTACCATTAAAATTGATATATGGAAGGGATGGTAGATTTATCTTGTGCCTGAGGTACTGGCACTCTATTTCTGTAAGTTCGTATAGCCTAGTCAGAGAAGCAAGCACAGTTATTTCCAGGGGCAGGTTTCTTACAGAAAGAAGTCTGCAGTCTCTAATATGAAACCCTTAGAAATGTGTTTGGGGATTTTGAATTTATCCTATTTTAGATATATTGTGTTTATTGACTATTATTTAAAAATATCCATTGGGATTAAACATTGGCTCTACTCAGGTTTTGCAGACAAATGAATTCAGATTAGTTTAGGTTTTGCTGTTATGTACTTATGAAAAGATTTTCAGGTTTTTTCTGTTGTATTTTGGAGTCCTCAGGGAGTCCAAGCCCCTATAAATGGCTCCAGCAGAAAATGTAGCTGATGGAAATTTGGTTACAATTTTTTGAAGTATTGTAGCCATCTAACAGGTATTAGAAGCTTCTGATGAAATGTAGTAACACATGGCAGGTTTTCACTTGAAAATACTTTTGTTTTCTTGGGAAGAAGAAATAATTTGACAAATTTATTACTCAGTTTGATTAGATTATGGGGGGGGGTTTGTAATCATTGCATTCTTCATGCCTCTTATTGGTCCCAGCAAGCAAAACTAGAAAAGTTTGCATGTGTATTGTTTATCTGAGATCAAAGACAAACTAAGCGCTATTACTTTTCCTTTAACTTGACGAAGTTTGTCCTAGACCTCTGGGCTGTGTAAGTAATATAACTTGAAAAAAATACGACATGTAGTTCTGCAATGTAGACTGATCACACAGTTAGTTTGGTTTTTTTCTAATGCAGGCTGTTCGTAATTGTTTTGTTTTTATTTATTTACTTTTTTACCATTACAAATGCATTTTTAAAATAGGTAATAAATCTCCTAATGGAATAAGTGACTATCCAAAGATCAGAGTGACAGTAACTCGCGATCAGCCTCGAAGAGTCCTGCCTTCCTTTGGGTAAGTGTTAAACTCTGCCTTCTTTAAATGGGAACTTGGCACTTACTAGGGGCTCACTCCTGCTAGCGAAGCATTCTTACTCTTACTCTATTATGTAATCTCATTATATAAATACTCTTTTTTAGTGGCTTACTGAATATTGTACAGCTAGTGAGAAACTTGAACTTGTTGTTTTTTCTGCCATTTTATATGCTCATAGCATCTGATTTTGAAAACCTTTTGAAAAACAATTGTCATTCACTTCTAAACTTTTTAAAGTATAGTGTGCCTGCAGAAATCATGTGTCTAGCTTGATGAATTTTCATACACTGAACTGCTCTCATTTTATTAGTAATTTTCTTCTTTTTGTGTTTGCGCTTTCTAGAATTTCTACTGCTTGGATGTTAGACCTTTTGGATTGATCTAATTTTAAGCATATTCTCTTTTTGTTGTTATCCTTGCCCTTAAAAAAAATCTTTTACTGATTTTTTGGCAGGGAGATGCTCCATAGCTCTTTTGAGATTTTGTTTATTTACTTTTAGAGAGAGAAGGGAGGGAGAAAGAGAGAGAGAGAGAGAAACATCAATGTGCGGTTGCTGGGGGCTGTGGCCTGCAACCCAGGCATGTGCCCTGACTGGGAATCGAACTTGTGATGGTTTGATTCGCAGCCTGTGCTCAATCCACTGAGCTACGCCAGCCAGGGGTGCTTCATAGCTTTTAAGTTGTAAGCATCCTCCTACTCCCTACTCCCCATGGTTTTTCTTTCTCCAGGCATCTTGTTCTTATTGTAAGGATGCACTGTCTTTTATTATCTCTCTAAAACTGTTAATTATTTGTAAATTTCTTCTCTACTTTGTCTGCTTCCTCTGAATTCACTCTCTGCTTTGGTTTATTTTTGGTTTACTTTCATCTTAGAGTCTTTATTCAAATACCTGGTAATCCTTGGCTGTCCACTCATATTTGAGGATGGGACACTCACTAAAAACTAGGGCTCTCTGGAGTTGGATAAATGGTTGATCGTACAAATAGAAAAGAAAATGCAAAATGTGTTCGGAACATCCTGTGCCAGAAATTAAAGGAGTGCTCAGAAACTGGGGACATGTTCCCACAGCACAGAAGGAAACTTGAAGGGGCTTCCACTGGCCAAATTGGGGGCAATTTTAAAATGAATAAAGACAGGAAGGAATACAGGTGCTGATAAGTATGTACTGTGGGAGGGAAAGATTTTTATAGCAGGATGCCACTAGTAAGTGTAGCGGGGATGGTACAATTAGAAGATCACCATTTTGTAACTGTCGTAGTAATTGATACATATAGGAATTAATTGAGCTCAAGTTAGTTAGCAAGTAAAAGTTTGATGAGATATTCGATATTTATATAAAACCAAAATGTTTCCCCACAAATTACTTGTTAATTACAAAGAGAAAGATAGTAACTTTTAAGAAATCTGCTTGACACCACCTTAACCAAAGGAACAAAGTTAAAGGCAACCCACAGTGAAGACAAACAGACATGGCCTCCAGATTTATTGCACTGAGAAGGACATCATCAGTTAATTCGTACTCCTGCAAAGTCAATAATGTGAATCTAAGAATGAGAAAACTGATTAAGGCCTGTATTCTTTTTTTTCTTCTTCCTTTTTTTTTAAAGATTTATTTATTTATTTTTAGAGAGGGAAGGGAAGGAGAAAGAGAGAGAGAGAGAAACATCAATGTGCTGGGGGCCGTGGCCTGCAACCCAGGCATGTGCCCTGGCTGGGAATTGAACCTGCGATACTTTGGTTCACAGCCCACGCTTAATCCACTGAGCTATGCCAGCCAGGGCTAAGGGCCGTATTCTTCATCATAAAGATGAGGAAAGGCTGAAAACCAGTTTCAGTTCAGAGGAGATTGAAGATACATGACAACCAAATGCAATATGGCTCCTGCACTGGATTCAGGATAGGGGGAAATTGCTGTGGAGGGCATTTTTAATATCTTCAGAGAAATTTAAATATGACCTACATGTTACATATTGCATTACTGCTAAAGTGCCTGGATTTGATGATTATATCATGGTTATGTAAAAGATGCCCTGGTTTTTGGGAGATACATATTTAAATATTTGGAGGTGAACTTCTCTAAGCATTTAATGCTATAATTGTTTTCTATAAGCATCGCTTAGCTGTATCCTACACATTTTGAAATAATTGGTTTTAATTTTTATTCAATTTAAAAATATTTTCTAATTTCTGTTTTACTTCCTCTTGAACCAGTGATCTTGAAGTATAGAAGTCTGTTGTTTAATATCCAAATATTTGGGACTTTCCAGAGAATTAAACTAAATAATTAAACTAGCAGTCTTTCTGTTATTTAGTTTAATTCCATTATGGTCAGAGAGTATACTTGGTATGGTTTCGGGTCTTTTAAATTATAACATGTTTCATAGGGTCATATCCAGCGTGCATTTGAAAAGAATGTGTGTTTTGCTTTTGCTGAGTGGAGTGTAATAAATGTCAGCTCAAGTTTGTGGTATTTTACAGGTCTTACTGGTTTTCTGTCTACTTTTTTATTGATTAATGAACAAGGGGTATTGATATTTCCTACTGTAATTGTGGACTTGTTTATTTTTTTGCCCAATTGTATCAGTTTTTGCTTCATGTATTTTGTCTTTACTTGACCCAGATCCACCAGTTATCATTTTGCTGATTTCTTTATCATTTTCTGTCATGCATACATAATATTTTTTTCTGAACCATTTGAGAGTCTTAGACTTAAGACATTTTAATTATAAGTACTTGAGTGTGTTTGTGTTTATTTCTTGAGAATAAGGATATTTAGCCCTGGGTGATGTGGATTGGTGGATTGGGTGCTGACCTGCGAACTAAGGGATCACTAGTTCTATTCCCAGTTGGGACACATGCCTGGGCTGTCAGCCGGGTCCCCTGTTGGGGGCATGTGAGGGGCAACCACACATTGGTGTTTCTCTCCTTCTCTTTCCCTTCTCTCTAAAAATAATAAATAAAAATTTTTAAAAAGATAGGAAATTTACTTACATAATCATATATTTATAAAAATCAGAAAATGTAATATAATGCTATTTTATAATCTTATTCAAATTTATCCATAATAGTAATTACTTTTTTTTTCTGGTCCACAATTCAGTGTAGGACCATGTATTACATTTAATTTTCATGTCTTGTTAGTCTCCTTTAATCTGGAACAACTCCTCAGACTTTGTCTTTAATAGCATGGGTATATTTTTTTAAATTTTATTTTAATCGTTCAAGTACAGTTTTCTGTCTTTTACTCCCATCCCAGCCCACCCTCCCATTCCTCCCCACCTCCCTCCCATTCCCCGCACCCCCCCCCCCCCAAGTTTTCGTCCATGTGTCCTTTATATTTGTTCCTGTAAACCCTTCCCTTTTTCCCCTGAAATTCCCTTCCCTCTCCCCTCTGGTCACTGTCAGCCTGTTCTCTCTTTCAGTACCTTTGGTTATATTTTGCTTGTTTGTTTGTGTTGTTGTTTAGGTTCCTGTTAAAGGTGAGATCATATGGTATTTGTCTTTCACTGCCTGGCTTATTTCACTTAGCATAATGCTTTCTAGTTCCATAATAGCATGGATATTTTTAAAGGGTATAGGATGGGGCAAAAGTAGATGTACAGTTGTTCCTATAGAAAATAATACAATAATAAAACTAATAAATAATTATACAAGAATAAACTATTGCACATACTCAGACTATAAATCTACTTTTGCCCCACCCTGCATAAAATATTTGTAGAATGTTCTTCAATTTTGTCTGATCTTGATTCATTATTTGTTTTAGATCATGCGACTTTTTCTTTTTTAAAGATTTTATTTTTATTTATTTTTTGGCGGGGGAGAGAATCATCAGTGTGTGAGAGAATCATTGTTCAATTGGTTACCTCCGCACGCCCCCTACTTGGGACCTGGCCTGAAACCCAGGCAAGTGCCCTGACTGGGAATTGAACCAGCAACCTTTCAATTCATAGGCCGTGCTTAGTCCACTGAGCCACAGCAGCCAGGGCTAGATTATGCAGCTTCTTTTATAAAAAATATATACATGGTGTATCCTTTTTAAAACATCAGTCCAGAAGGTATAATGTCAGTGCATCCCATTATTGGTAATGGCAGGAGAGACAGGCTCTTTCACCAGTAATGATGGCTAGATTGGGGCTCAGCACACGTTAATTTACATTAATTAACTTAGCATTCAGCCGGTATTGAGTGTTGGGTGTTTTTTTGTTGTTGTTGTTGTTGTTGTTTGGGTTTGTTTTTTGTTTTTTGTTTTTGTTTTTGTTTTTCCCAGAGAGAGGGGAAGGGAGGGAGAGAGGAAAGAACAATGTGTGGTGGCCTCTTCCACACCCCCTACCCGGGACCTGGCCTGCAACCCAGGCATATGCCCTGACTGGGAATCAAACCGGTAACCTTTCGGTCTGCAGGCCGGTGCGCAGTCCACTGAGCCACACCAGCCAAGGCAGTATTGAGTGTCTTTTCACTTAGATCATGTTCTAGGATACAGTGATAAAAGGATATAGCTCCTGTTTTCATGGAATTTAAAGTTTGGTGTGGGCTACAGACATCAATAATTCCAAGTGAGTGAAGGATAAGTGCAGTACTAGGGGAGGGTAGGTGAAGTAGGGGAGCTAATTTCAGAGCTGGGGGTAGAAAACTGAACTTGAGGAAGAAGGCAGAGGCTTTTATGTGGCAGCCCTGGTGACTGGGAATAGACATTCCTTAGTGCAGTTCTGGGGTGCCCTCTACTCTAGAGATGCATCTAACTTTTGTGAATGTTAGCTGTCTGACTTGACAACAAGCTTAGTCTGGGAAGCCTAACACAGAATGGTCTGAGGCTTAGATTCCAGCAATTTAAGCAATTTGGTGATAAATTAAAAAATTCTTTTCTGTCTCTCAGTTTTACTTTAAACTCAGAAGGCTATAACAGAAGACCAGGTGGCCGCCGCCATAGTAGAAGCAATCCAGAGAGTTCCTTAACGTGGAAACCTCAAGAACAGGTCACAAGAGACATGATTACTGAAGAGGGTGGCAAGGGTCTAAGGCGTCCCCATTGTACTGTGGAGGAGGTAAGCCTTTCTAGCCTGATCTCTTTTGAAAACCATTTCATCAATTTCTGGGGGGATAAGTAATGTATGTACTATGGTACAAAATCTAAAAGGTATAAAAGGATGTACAGTGACTATAAATTTCACAGTCTCACTTCCATACCTGGCCCTGCCACCCTGTTTGACTCTGAAACTTGTATGTAGCCTTCTAGAGATGTTCTATATATGTGTGATTTAGTCAATTTCCAGAATATTTTTACTATAAGAAATAAAAAGAAGTCATATTAGGAAGAGATAAGATTATAGATTCTATTTGGGTGCCTGAATTGTTCTAACTTGTTTCTTTTGTACGCTGTAATAACTGAGTAAGTAAGAGAAGTCAGGTGGTGTATTTGTCTGCTCCTTCCTTCCCTTTCCTGGGCACTTAGCATATCTTCATCAACGAGCTTTCTCTTCACTTTCCTTTTGAAGTCTTCACTTAGTCCAGGGGCATTTAGAATTATTCCTGTATCTGGCATTCCCCAGGACCATCACCTGTGGTTTTCTCAGCCACTTGGTTTTGCTCATCTTAGATATGCTTGTTTGGGTGCCCGTGGTCAGCAGTTTGAATTGAATAAAATATGGTTCTGTCCTCTAGGATCTTACACATAAATAGTGGTACTGAACAAACAGAGGTAGGCAGAGAGAGGAATGGAGAGGATTTAAGGAGAGGTGTCATAAAGTAGGCTTCAGTGCCTCTTAGATGAGAAATAAGAAATGAGACTGAGCACATAAAGGGTATACACAGGATATATTCTTGAAATATTAAAAGGCAATATTAGCAAGGGCATATTCATTGTTTAAGCGTAATATAAAATTAGCAGGAAGAGCCTGAGACCCAGATTACAATCTTGGATAAATATGTACCACTGACCAAGATACCCTGGATGTTTAGGGGGAAGTTATAGTGACTTCAGTTTTGGACATTGTTTAAAGTGCCTGTGGAACATGCAAAGTGACCTGGCCCATAGAGTTTTGAGAGGAAGGCAGGGTTAGAGAAACATTCCTGAATCTTCATCTTATTGGTATTATATAAATCAAGGGAGCTGAGATATTCAGGGAGAGTGTGTAGTATAAGAAGAGATAATGGGGAGGACCACTGACATTTTGGGCAGGCAGAAGAAGAAATAATCTGTAGTGGAGACTGAGAAGGTAAGAAGAAATCAGGAGAGTGTATTGTCCAGGAAGGCAAGGAGCAGTCACTAGGGTAAGATGCTGAAGAAAGAGGTCAGGTAATACCAAGGCTGAAAGGGTATTTGTTGCATCTGGCCACACAACATCCTCGGTGACTTGGGTGAAACCAGTTACATTTTGGAAGCTTAATGTTCTGGAAATGCAAGTGGATTATCTCCACTGAGTTGTTTTATGGTTAACCTAGTTCTGCTGCCAAAAACTCAGATGCATCCAAAGTCTAGGAGATGATGTAAATGAGTGATGTGGGCTGGAGTGAGTGGCCCATCTAAAGGAATAGCCCTACCTAGCTTTAGATTGTTGATTCAGTTTTTCAAAAGGCCAGGTTTTTGGAATTTTCTTTTCAGTTTATAAAGTAATTAATTTAAAGAAACTTAAAAAGCACTGTGCTGAGGAATGAAACACACCTATGACCTATTAAGTCTTTGCTTGTGATTTAATCGTATGTTTAATGTGCTAGAAGTTATCCAACATGCCGTTCTTTTATTTAGGGTGTTCAAAAAGAGGAAAGAGAGAAGTACCGAAGGTTATTGGAACGACTTAAAGAAGGTGTTCATGGAAACCCTGTTCCTCCTGTAATATCACCTCATCACAGGTAAAGAGGAGCTGACAAGAGCAATGCTTTGCCAGACATCTTTTCTCTTGTTTTTGGAGAGGAAATTGGTAGGAAGGGTTTTGTGGGAGAAAAGAGATTAACATTGAGAGAACCAGCCCTGTAATTTGTCTGAACAAATTATATCTACTAGTAGATTATATAGAATAGTGTTTATGCAAAATACAGTTTTCTGTTAGCTTTCGAATTCTTTGTTCAAGTGTACTCTTACTTGAAACTCTGATATAGAAAAGTGAAATCACTGGTTGAAATCAGGAAGCAGAGAGTTTTTCTAACCTCCCCAATATACACATTTCCCATAATCTCTGTCTCTCTGCCTCTCTTTCTCCCTGTTCTCCTCTCCTGTTTGTTCCTCCCTCCTTCCCTCCCCTTCTTCCCTCCTCTTCTAGATACACAAAGTTCCTGAGGCATCTTAATGGATGCATCTTAAGCACAATTGGAAACCTTCCACTTTAGAGATAAGATCAAAGTTGCCCAGGTCATAAGAAGTTTTTCTTAGAAGACTCCTTGTTAATTAAATACTCTAATGATTTGAGCAAATAGATGAGAATGACAGAAGGAATTGACTGCCCTGGCTGGTGTGGCTCAGTGGATTGAGCATGGGCCTGCGAACCAAAGCGTTGCTGGTTCGATTCCCAGTCAGGGCACATGCCTGGGTTGCTGGCCAGGGCAGGTCCCCCGTGGGGGGCATGTGAGAGGCAACCACACATTAATGTTTCTCTCCTTCCCTCCCTTCCCCTCTGCCTAAAAATAAATAAATAAAATCTTAAAAAAAAAGAAGGAGTTGATGTCTGGCTTTATATTCACTTGTAAAAAGGGGACAAAAGATATGTGAGGTCAGTATTGAGGTATACTTGATTATTTCAACAAGTGAGCATACACAGAGTGGTGTCCCAGAAATTATGTAACAGCAAATTGAAGGTGAAAAAGTCACAAGACTGTCTAGTTTGTTGAGTGCAGAAATAACAAAGGAATATATGTTGGGGAATTTTAATTTTGGTTGTGAACTTTTAAATTTTTTTTTAAGATTTTATTTTATTTTTTAGAGAGGGAAGGGAGGGAGAAAGAGAGAGAGAGAGAGAGAGAGAAACATCAATGTGGGGTTGCTGGGGGTCATGGCCTGCAACCCAGGCATGTACCCTGACTGGGAATCGAACCTGCGACACTTTGGTTCGCAGCCCGCACTCAATCCACTGAGCTACGCCAGCCAGGGGTCAACTTTTAAAATTTTAATTACCTTAGTGAAGTCAGTCAGAATGCTAATATTTTCTCTGTTTTGAATAGCCACTGTTGAAAGTAGCAGAGTACTTCATGAACTATTGGTTTTGTCATGACAACCTATTTTGCTTTTAACATTCCTGCTTTTAACCTGTTGTTTAAAGATCCATTTCAGTGTATTATGCAAAATTTTGCATCTTTTAACTTGAGTTTTATCACACAAGATTTTTCAGTCAAGGTGTTGCTGGGGATTGAGAACATGCAGTTTTACAAATAGAACTGGAGGTTAGTAACTTGTCTGAAATATTAGAATCAGTATTAGACTCTTTTTATCCTAGTCTCAGTTGGTGCTGTGTTGCATCCTCTCATAATTTTGTTTAAAGATTTTATTTATTTATTTATTTTTAAAGAGAGGGGAAGGGAGGGAGAAAGAGGGTGAGAAGCATCAATGTGTGAGAAACATTGGCACCCAACCAACTGAGCCACACTGATCAGGGTGCATCCTCTTGTAATTTGATGATTCAGGATAATTGGTAACTTCTGTTTGGAGAAACTTGTCAGAGGTAATGAGTATTTACGGTAGATTTTTCTTTTGTATCTGAATGTCTTCACTTTTTGTTTCCAAGTTCTCAAAGATGTCACATGGATACACTAAAGACCAAAGGCTGGGGAGAAGATCAGAGTCATGGAGTCAGAACAACTCAGTTTGTTCCAAAACAATGTGAGTTTCCCGATTTATCCCTGTCTTAATATACTGAACTTAGTTCATGTGCGTATGAAATTGAAAAATGACATACTTGTGAAAGATGGTATACCAAACCTTAACACTTTATCAGACCCCAGGGCATTGACTAGTTTACCCAGTACCAGTAGGTTAGTAAAAAAGTTATTTTAAGATGAAGCAGATTAATAGAATACCTCTTGGTTATTATTCCTAGCTTCTATGTGTAGTAGTACTAGTACATATTTTGTAAGCCTAAAATTAATTTCTTTATATTCCTTATATTAATTTTCTTGCATTTATCTACTTGCTGTCCACTAAGTGGTAGTTTACCAAATGAGCAGATATCAGCTAGTTTACACTAAAGATTATATTTAAAGAAGAAAGCGATTTACACATTTTTAAGCAGCTTGATTTGTAAGGAGGCTACTGTTTGGAAATTATTCTAACATTTCAATGTAAGTCAGTGTCTTGATACTTTGAAAATTAAGTTGAAATTCTAGCTATATATTGATTAATAAAAAAGAGACCTTATTTTTTCTTTACTGTCCTCACAGATAGAGTTGTTGAAACAAGGGGGCCTCTATGTCCAGTAAGGAGTGAAAAGAGGTACTTGGTTCAGTTTATTCTAAGTTTTCTTTTGACATTATTTCCTTACTTTATAAGCTGTATTTATGACTAACCATGTATAAGGAATTGTGAACTGTCCTCAGCTCTGGTAGCTGGTCAGCATATATGGGTACATAGATAGCTTTTGTGTCAGATGCCTACTGTAACTTGGGAGGTGCCTTGTCTCCTAGGCATTGGGGGTTGGGAGATGCAGGTGCCATTTAGAAAAGTGTGGGTGTGGTGGACATCTCTGGTATGTGAACAGTGAAGGCAGTTCTGCGTGCTTTAGGGTGATAACTCATTTATAGCATAGGTTGGTTGGTAAAGTACGGCCCACGGGCCAAGTCTGGTCCACCTGCCTGTTTTTTGTTTGTTTGTTTGTTTGTTTTTTAACTAAAGTTTTATCGGAACACAGTTGTGCCCATTCATATGCTTACTGTTCATGGCTGCTCTTCAACTCGAATGGAAATTGAAAATATTTAACAGACCACAGGACATGCATACTATCTGATTCTTTTTGGAAAAATTTTGCTGACCCTTGGTTTAGAGGACTATATTAAATTCAAGACAGTTTCTATTTGTAAATTATTATATGTTATTTCTACAACTAGTCTAACATGTACCAGGTTAAAATCATCCCGTCAGTAATCTGTATTTTTCCCCCCTCAGGTATTCAAAGGGGAAAATTTTTGATGCAGAGAAGACAGTTGGAATCAAACTTGAAAATGAAGGTGTAAGTAGAACCCCTAGCTAAATTTTACATCTTTTTACTCTTTCACCTGACTTACTAATAATATTTTGGTGCCTGGGAAAAATAAGATGATATGTTAATTTGATTCCTAATTCTGTTTTCTTTGAAAAAGCAGGCATTAAAGAGAAACAACTTTAGCTTCCTTCTGAGTTGCTGAATTTTTATCTCTGCGTGCATTATAGCCACCTTTGTTTGTAAGAGAGATGAATTTGCCTCCATCTCTGGCCTTATGTTTGCTACCTGGCTTCTTGTAGAGAATATTTTAAGACCATACATCTCTAGGAGAGATATATGCTCAAGACTTCCTTTTTTCAAAGTCAGGATTTTAGATTTACTTGAAAATAGTATCAATCTTTTGCTTAATTAGGCTTTTTTCGATTAAGTATTAGAATAAGAAGTGTCCCAGCCGTGGCTGGTGTAGCTTAGTGGGTTGGGCTTTGTCCCACATACCGAAAGGTCGCCTGTTAGGGCACGTGCCTGGGTTTTGGGCCAGGTCCCCGAATGGTGGCATGTGAGGAGCAACTGATCAATGTTTCTCTCCCTCTCTTTCTCCCTCCCTTCCCCTCTTTCTAAAGAAAAATAAATAAAATCTTTAAAATAAAGTGTTCCAATGATTTCCATAGCAATACCAACATCTTTAACAATAATGTCATATCCAAAAGAAATACATTGCTAAATTAAATGTAAACTTGAAGATTTAGATTATTTCACGTCTTAGCTACATACAAATACCAAAGTGTAGGGGACTTTGTGTTAAGTGTACTATATCAGTTTGATCAAATTTCTCTTCTCCCATTAGATTTCTTCATAACAATTAGTCTTAAGGGTAAGTCATAGTCTTAAGCCATGATCTTAAGTCATAAATGTTAGAACATTACCTTCTCTAATTTCCCCATTTCCAGTGATTCAGAGTGAAGCCTTCTGTGTTAAATTATCATTTATTAGTTGTATAACAAAGACTGAAAGAAGTGGGGGGGACTAAGTATTGAGAGAGGATCAATGGGGTGGTGGTGGTGGTGATAATGGTAATGGCTGTAATGTGCTACCTAGATGAAGACTTCATCCTGCTTCTATCTCTGCCGCACCTGAAAGCTTTACTGTCTGCGACCATAGGAAGGGCCAGCAGCTACTGGTTTCTTAGGACTGGTATATTTGGCAGTTAGCTAGAGTGAAGAGTATTGGCTAAGTGTGTGGAGAGTGTGGTTCTAGTCCAAAGCTCTATTTCTAAATAAATTTCCTAATTTTAAAATAGTTTGCCTGCAATATTAATTTAGTATTAAGGGTTACACAAAGTCATGATAAGGAAGGATCTTATCAAAGTTTCTGGGATGCTGGCAGAATTCTACTTGTTGACCTGAATAGTGATTCCATTGGTGTTAATTTTGTAATTTATATTTTGTGCATTTTCTATAATTTATAATTACATTTTTTAAAAAAAGATGAAATAGAACAAGTTTACATAGTATAAGGATAGCGGTGGTTTATTCTGAGTGATGGGACTTGGGTTACATTTTTTTGCTGTTTTAAAACTTTAACTTTTTTTTTAACTAAATGTTTTAAAATTTGGATTAAGAGAACTGAATTTGCTTGTTTTATACCTTCAGGGAAAATGATGTGTGTTGTGTTTCATGGCGTAGTAATCAAGGTATTCTGAGTCTTAATGTCTTGAACACTTTTTGGTCCCTCTTATAGGAACAAATATGCTACATCTACTCATTTGAGGATTTGCTAGTTCTCTATTCTTTCAAGATGATGTCACTTTTATATTTCATGTGTTATGTATGTTTATATGTACAGTCATTAAGCAAGCCAATAGAATGTGGAAACTTTTTTGATCAGAGGAGGGGACACCAGCTGGAACCTGACCTGTCTGAAGAAGTGTCAGCCCGACTCCGCCTGGGCAGTGGAAGCAATGGCTTATTCAGGAGGAGAATGTCAGTACTTGACACAAAAGAAAAAAATTGCTCAAGCAAAGAGAGGGATAAAAAAATGGATGATCTTCTTGAACTTACAGAGGTATTATTTCTTATGTTGATCAGAATAAGAGACATGTTTTTAAATAATCTTAGTTATTCAAGACCTGAGTGGCAGTTTTGAAGAGTTTCTCCGGCTAAGGATAAATGTAGGAAGGAAATCAGGCCTAAGGGCTGTTCAGTCACTGGCTACATTGATATTATGATCTGTGAAGGTGGTCTGAGGGATCAGACTACTACATTTAACAAATGTGGCTAGACATAATTGTCATATACCTTGGAGTATAATGAATTCTTCGTAGAGTCTTTTCTTAACCTTAAAATATTTTTGTTACATAGGATGGATGGGTTTGGCATGAGGAATGAATTCATTGCAGTTTTAAGTGATTATGGTTTACTGAAATTCCCCTTTTGTTGATTATTGCATTTGAAAATAGTAAAAACTTATAGAAAATAAGAAAATGAAGGTAGTTGAAAACTCATTTTAAAGGTGAGCCCACATCTTGGCTCCTTCTTCATTGTTGTCTTAGTAGGTAGTAGTCAGCCCTGTTGAGTGAATCTCTCTTTTTTCTTTTTTAAGTTTTTATTTATTTATTTTTAGAGACAGGGGAAGGGAGAGAGAGAAAGCAGCAGCCTCTTGCACATGCTCCATCCAGGGACCTGGCTGCAACCCAGGCATGTGCCCTGACCAGAAATCAAACCTTTCACTTTATGGGATGATGCTCAATCAACTGAGCCACACCAGTCAGGGCTATCTTTTTGTTTTGTTTTGTTCGTTTATTGATTTGAGAGAGGGGTGCGGAGGAACATCAGTTTGTTGTTCTACTTATTTATTCATTCGTTGGTTGATTTGTATAGGTGCCCTGACTGGAGATCAAACCCACAACCCTGACATATTGGAAGGATGCTCTACCCAACTGAGCTACCTGGCCAGGGCCAGTGAATATCTCTTGAGCACTTGTTATACATTGGGCATGCAGGTGGAGAGAGAAAGCCATAAAATTATAAAATGCTGTGCAGTTGGGAGGAAGCAATATTAAAATTTGGCTGAAATAATTTTGGGGGGGTTATAGATTCATTCTGGTAGCTTAATATGCATTTATCTGCATAATCCTTTAGATGAAGCTGTCTTTTCAGTAAAGACTCAGTTGTTAGGCTGCTGCCTAGTTTCCCAGTTAACTGCCTGTTTGCTTACTCTCCTCATGTTCAAAATGGACATTGTGATCTCTTCAGTGTCGTTTATTACTTTGATGTGTTTAATGAAAAGTTTGGGAGGAAAATAAGGAAAGTATGAAGATACTTTTGGTATAAAGTATTTTAAGAGGAGCAAAGCCACTCCTAGGCTCAAGTCTTGCCTTGTAACAACTTATGACTTTGAGCAGGTAACCTAAATTCTCTGAGTGTTGCCTCTTCTATGAAATGGTGGCATTTTCCCCACAAGCAAGGATCAGTGATGTGCTTCAGGCATCTGGCACCATGTTGGCTCATCGTGCTCAGTCAGTGGTAGCGGGATAATTGAGACTATACCTTAAATATAAATATTATTACCAAGTTATTTTCATAAACTAATAATTTAGTGTTTTTTATAACCCTTAGTAAGACTGCTTTGTAGTCTAAATTTAAATCTTTTCATTTATCTTTAATCTTAAATCTGTAGTTTAAATTTAAATCTTTTCAAAGATCTTTAATTCAGTGGGTCTTTGATAATGTATTTCTCTCAAGGGTCAGGTATTACAGAGGTGAAATTGGTTTTTTACAGTTTCAGACTTTTAGTGCCTGATAGTGGTTTTATACTAAAGTAGCAATCTCTGGACTTTCTAATTCAGGACATGGAAAAGGAAATCAGTAATGCATTAGGTCATGGCCCACAGGATGAGATCCTCAGTAGTGCTTTCAAATTGCGAATCACTCGAGGAGATATCCAGACCTTGAGGAACTATCACTGGCTCAATGATGAAGTAAGTCGTCTCTCTCCCCTTTCATGTCATTGTGCTTAACCATCTACTATCTGTAACCAAAGCAATATTTAAGCATAAGGGTTGGTAAAGCAGGTTTTGTTATATCTAAAAACAAAAACATCTTGAACCTTAGAAGGACTGTCTGATTATTTGCTGCCTTTAATTAGCATTGTTTCCTTCCTTTGCATCTGTGCTTCATTTCATCCACCACTTCCTTTACTAATCTTCAGTGACATTTTTATAAACCCTGGATGCAGGTGATGGATGGAAGAAAGCAGCAATTTATTTTAGATGAATTGTTACAGAAGCCATTTTATTATTTAAAATAAAGGGATATATTGATCACTATACACATATATATACATGATATATATTTTTGTTTATTTCATTTGAGTGATAATTGCAAAAATTTGCTTAATTGTCATCTTATATCCTTACATATTTAGCTAAAGCTAGCTTTTAGTTCTTGCCAGTTTTCCAGTTGGTCCTTTACCCAGCTGCTCAGTTGCTGCATTATCTTCCTTTGCCTTCCTTTGCCTTCCTTCCTGCCCCCCCATGACTAGCAGCATGTAGACACATTCTTCTAAAACTAGTAAGTGTAATATATCTATTACACAAAATTTAGAGAGTACAGGATAAGTTAAAGAATTTTTCACAAGTGCTACCACTAAATTAATAAAGTATTAATGTTTTGGTATATTTCCTTCCAGTTAATATTTTTTAATTGAGGTATAATTTATATATAGTAAAATTTACTTCCAATTACTGTTTCTGCATTTTTTTGTGGGGGGGGGATGGTTGTATACACCTTTTCATTATTGCACACTTCCTCCTTCAGTTCCTTCTCTTGACTCTTCCTACTATGCTTCAGAAGGGCAATTTCATTCCTTCTTAATCCCTCCCATTTTGTACTGATCATTTTTATTTCCATCTTCTACCATAGAGTTTTATCCCCTGCTCTAGTACCTTCCCTTCTTTAGGCTTCTTATCATCTAATGAATCCTAATTCAGTTAGATTAAAAATTCAGTTTTGATAATGTACTTGCCATGTTCCACTGTTTACTCTCTTGGTATTACAGGTCATTAATTTTTACATGAATCTTCTGGTAGAAAGAAATAGAAAACAAGGCTATCCAGTACTTCATGCATTCAGTACTTTCTTCTATCCCAAATTAAAGTCTGGAGGTTACCAAGCAGTGAAAAGATGGACCAAAGGCGTCAATCTCTTTGAACAGGAACTAATTCTGGTGCCTATTCATCGGAAGGTACATTGGAGCCTGGTGGTGAGTTGAGAGGGTTAATTTTTGGAGTTTGGATAATGACCATTTTCTTTCTTTTTTTTTTTAAATATTTTATTTCATTATTTTTAGAGAGTGGGGAAGAGAGAGAGACAGGGAGAAGAGAAACATCAATGTGTGGTTGCCTCTCGCATGCCCCCTACTGGGGACCTCACCTGCAACCCAAGCATGTGCCCTGACTGGGAATTAAACCAGCGACCCTTTGGTTTGCAGGCCGGCACTCAATCCACCGAATTATATCAGCTGGGCTTGGATAATGACCATTTTCTTAGAAAGGCTACCCTATTCTGTCCGTTGCAAGTCCATACTAAATGTTAAAAGCATACTCCACTGAGTCCCTTAGTTCTTGAGTCAAACAGCTTAGAAAGATAGAAGAGAGTTGCTGTAGCTGAGTACCTTTCATTTTTAACAGGAAAGAGTTTTAGTACACATGGGTTATTTATAAGTTTTGTTTATAAGATAGTACAGGTTACTTGTAGAGAAGTAAAAGTATAAAGAAAAAAGCAAAAAGAAGTTTCATGACTCTGAGAGGACCCCTGATGTTTTGGGGATTGAGTTTCTAAACCTTTCTGTCAGAATGAGAGTATACAGGTATACATTTTACAGAAATGAAGGTCATATCATCTGTGATATTTTATAAAAACTGTCTTAGAAATCCATTCATGTGGATGCATGTATCGATTTTTTTTAAAGATGCTTTTCCTTTTTAGATATAAAATCTCACTCCTGTTGTGATTGTTTCTGGATGTTGCATTTTTCCATTATAGGTGATAGACCTAAGAAAAAAGTGTCTTAAATATCTGGATTCTATGGGACAAAAGGGCAACAGAATCTGTGAGATTCTCCTGTAAGTAAAGGTTATTAAAAGACTTCACTGTTACCTCATTGTACCCTTGTTAGGCGATTGGTCTTCTATCTGATCATGGCGGTCTAATATGTAGTGAGGACTGTCTTCCCAGTTGTTCAGGACTTGACTTGAATTCATCTTTTTGTTTAAAAATAACCTAATAACTGGTCTTCACTGAGAAGTCTTGTTTAGTAGCATCATTGAAAGCAAGTTTGTCATATGTTACAAGGTAAAATGTCTTATTAGAATCCTGTAAAATATGTCTTGTGTAGATTTCTTGGGGATTGACACGTTATTCTGAATGTTGTAGAACTGTTAGCGGGGGAGTATTATTTCTCTGAATTCTTGAGAGATGGGAAGGGAGGGACAAGCAGAGGGAGAAAAATAGCAATGTGTGGTTATCTTTCACGTACCCACCACTGGGAACCTGGTTTACAATCCAGGCATGTGCCCTGACTGAGAATTGAACCGGTGACCCTGTGGCTTACAGCCTGTGCTTAGTCCACTGAACTACACCAACCAGGGCAATTTCTCTGAATTCTTAAACCGACTCATGTCTCTGTGCTTTCCATGATGGTTGAGTTCATCTCTTAGAACCCAGAGGTAATTTTTAAGTTAGAGTATGTGGTTTCTAGGCAACTATTTCAAATAGTATTGCTAGAAACCTGGCTTCAAAGCATAGCTACGTAAAGTGGTGACGTGAATTTCACAGTGAGGAAGCAAATCCATAGGACAAGTCTGTTTTGAACCTCTGCTGTTCACTGGAAGCCAATGCAGGTTACTGTATTTAATTTTAGTAAGGATACTAAGATGATTTTAATAAGGATACTTCAGTAAGGAACTTGTTAAATGAATGATAAGAAAAGTTACTGATCAGTTCAATTCTTTCTTTTTTCAGTAATGTTTTCATTATTATTTTCATTTATAGGTGTTTATCTTGAATAAGAATTATAGAGAAATTTTTTAAAATGCACCAAATTGTTTATAAAGCAGTGATGTACATACCTATCTATGCACATATACATATGTTATCACATGCACAGAAACATTCTCATGGGGATAATACAGCAAGATTGGTATAATGCTTATGATAGGATTAAAAAACTCATAGTTTTATGACATTCGTACTTTTGAATTTTTAAAATAGGTCTTAGTTATTTATTTTTAGAGAGGGGAAGGGAGGGAGAAAGAGGAGGAGAGAAATATCGATGTGCAAGACAAACACCTACCTGTCACCTCTCACACACCCCCAACCAGGGACCTGGCTCACAACCCAGGCATGAACCCTGCCTGGGAATTGAACTGGTGGCCTTTCAGTCTGCTGGACGATGCCCAACACACTGAGTCATACCAGGCAGGGCTTGAATATTTTACAAAGTATGAAGAGTTTGACTGCTATGGATATATCTGAAGCCCACTCCCTTTTCTGATAACCCCATTCCAGCTTTCCTCAACTTTGTACTTTATTATTACCTCCCTACCCCATCCTCATCCCCACCCCAAGAAAAATTTAGTTTCTCCATTACAGAAGAAAATAATATTAAGGAATAAGACCTTTTGTTTGTTGACTTGAGCTTTAGAAAGCTACAAGCCATGGAAATACCTGATTTTTCCCTTCTGAAATGTGGTTTTCACCCCTGGGGGTGATGTTGCCACTCCCATTGAAAGTGTACACCCTCCTATAAAGCAGGTTTGCCTTCCGTGCAGGTTAGGGTGCGTGCTGAGGTGTCGGGGTTAAATCTGAAACCCGCCTGCAGATTGGTATAAAGTTAATCACCCGATACCTAAGTGTATGTCTTCTGAGAATAATTCAAGTTTTGGAATTATCTTAAATAACCGCAACGTCACTATCACGCTTAAGAAAATCAGTAATCAGTGATAAGTAATGTGTGTCTCGTAAGGTTCATGTTCTGATTTTTTTTCTTATCCAGGAAAGGTAGTCAGGGTTCATGCATGTATTTTATGTCTTCAGTCTCCTTTCATTTAAAATAATCTTCCTGCTTTTCTGTGTTTTCATGGTAACAGCTTTTATCTAAGAATCTAAGCCACTTCTTTTGTATTTGTTTTTAATTGAGAAAAAAGTTGTAAATGAAGTCCTTTTTTTTTATAGAAAAATATGTATGTTTTAAAATTATACAGGAGTGGAGTAGACAAATAGGAATACACAGCAAAATATTACTATTCTGGGGTGATTATTATGAGGTCTTTTGCATTTTATATTTATATGTTTTAATTTTTAAAAAAGCATGTGTAATTTCTATAAGCAAAAAAAACCAATAACTGAAAATTAAAATTTAAAACCAAAACTTGTGGAGGTGAATTTAAGAATGGCATATGTTAAACATCACAAAGTTCTTTGTAATTATAATGTTGTCTTCATGGGGGTTCATCATTTTACTCTTTCTTTGTTGTTTTTTTCAGTCAGTATTTACAGGATGAAAGTAAGACCAAAAGAAATATTGATCTGAATCTTTCAGAGTGGACGGACTACAGCATGAAGCCACACGTATGTGACAATCATCTGTGTTTCAAATACTCTGTTGCGTTTACTGTTAGAGGGATACCACTTAGACTTTCCTTCCTCCCTCCCTCATACACTCATCCTCAGGAACACATTCTCCTGAAGTGTATTTTATGTACATCTTAAGAATGAGCCACTTCTCAATCTTTTAACCAAGATGTTTGTTTCTTAGCCTTTATTTTATTGATTAAATTGTAAATGTTAAAAAACTCAGTAAGTTTATGTCAGCTACTTTTCTTGGTTGGCCCTAATGAAAATTTGAAATTCTTGTTCAGAATTTATCTAGAGAGGACAGAGGGTAGGAGAAAAAAACTTACCTGGAAATTTTGTATATTTAGCTCTTTTTTATAAAGTATAATTTATTGATTATGCTATTTCAATTGTCCCTTTGCTCCGCTCTTCCTGGTACCCCCTTCCTCCAGCAACCCTCTGCCATAGTCCACATCTGTGGGTCATGGATATAAGTTCTTTGGCTCCTCCATTTCTTATACTAATCTTAACATGCCCCTGTCTATTTTGTGCCTACCAATATGTACTTAATCCCTGCACACTTTTCTCATTCTTCCCCTTCCCCCTCCCAACTGATAATACTCCAAATGATCTCCATGTCTATGATTCTGTTCCTGTTCTAGTTGTTTAGTTTGCTTAGTTTGGTCTTGTTTTTTATATTCAGTTGCTAGTTGAGAGTTTGTTGTCATTTTAATAGTCTAGTTTTGATTTTCTTAAGTCCCTTTAACATTTCATGTAATAATGACTTTGGGATGAGGAACTCCTTTAGTTTTTTGTTGTCTGAAGCACTTTATCTGCCCTCTCATTCTAAATGATAGCTCTGCTAGATAGAGTAATTTTGGTTGTAGGATCTTGCTTTTCATCATTTTGAGTACTTTTTGCTAGCCCCTTCTTGCCTGTAAAGTTTCTTTTCAGAAATCAGCTGCTAGTCTTATGGGAACTCCTTTGTAGGTAACTGTCTTCTATTCTCTTGTTGCTTTTAAGATTCTCTCCTTTGCCCTGGCTGGTGTGGCTCGGTGGATTGAGTGCCGGCCTGTGAACTGAGGGGTTGCCAGTTTGGTTCCCATCAGGGCACATGCCTGGGTTGTGGGCCAGGTCCCCAGTAGTGGGTGTGTGAGAGGCAACCACACATTGATGTTTCCCTCTCTTTCTCCCTCCCTTCCCCTCTCTGAAAATAAATACATAAAATCTTTTAAAAAAAGATTCTCTCCTTTAATCTTGGGTAATGTAATGTAACCTTGGTGTGTGCTTCCTTGGGTCTAACCTCTTTGAGAGCCTATGAGCTTCCTGGACTTCCTGAAAGCCTATTTCCTTTGCCAGACTGGGGAAGTTCTCCATTATTTGTTCAAATAAGTTTTCAATTTCTTGCTCTTCCTCTTCTCCTTTTGTCATCCCTATGATTCAGATGTTAGAACATTTAAAGTTGTCCCTGAGATTCCTAAGCCTCTCCTTTTTTTTTTTTAATTCTTGTTTTTTTTTTTTTTTTTTTTTAAGATTTTATTTATTTATTTTTTAGAGAGGGAGGGAGAGGGAGGGAGAGAGAGAGAGAGAGAGAGAGAGAGAGAGAGAGGAACATCAATGTGCGGTTGCTGGGGGTTATGGCCTGCAACCCAGGCATGTACCCTGGCTGGGAATAGAACCTGGGACACTTTGGTTCCCAGCCCGCACTCAATCCACTGAGCTACGCCAGCCAGGGCTTAATTCTTGCTTCTTCATTGTGTTCTGGTTGAATGTTTATTTCTTCCTTTTGTTCCGAATCATTGATTTCAATCCTAGATTTCTTCCCTTCACCGTTGGTTCCCTGTATAGTTTCCTTTATTTCACTTATTATAACCTTCATTTCTTCCTTTATTTTGTTCCCATATTCGATAAGTTCATTCTTTTTTCTTTTTCTTTTTTTTTAAGATTTTATTTATTTTTAGAGAGGGAAGGGAGGGAGAAAGAGAGAGAGAGAAACATCAGTGTGTGGTTGCTGGGGATCATGGCCTGCAACCCAGGAATGTACCCTGACTGGGAATCAAACATGCAACACTTTGGTTCGCAGCCCGAGCTCAATCCACTGAGCTACGCCAGCCAGGGCTAGATAAGTTCATTCTTATCACCAGTGTTTTGAACTCTGATAGATTGCTTATCTCCATTTCATTTAGTTCTTTCTCTGGGGTTTTGTTCTGCTCCTATGGCCATATTTCTTATCCTTCTCAATTTGGCAGCCTCCCTGTGTTTGTTTCAGTGTATTAGGTAGAGATACTTTTATTCCTTATCTTAGTAGCATGGCCTATGTAGAGAAGGCACCTGTAAATTGTGTGGGGTAGAGCCTTAAGTATTTGCCAGGGTGGGGCAACCCACTTTACTGCTTAGTAGCTCAGTGTGGGGGAGGGATGGCCCAGAGAGGAGACATTGCTGCTGCCTGGCTTCTGGAGGCCTACCTAGCACTCACCTGGCTTCCAGTCACCTTACCCACCTCCCGTATGCAATCGGTGCCTTTCCAGCTGCTCCTGTGTTGTTTGAGTAAGGTACATTCTAAGTCCATGTGGGCCCTTTAGGTGGTGAAAATCAGCAGTTTCTTTTGCCTCCCCAAGCCGCACCGGTTTTTATAGCCAGGGTAATGGGGGTTTATCTTCCCAGTGCTAGAACCCTGGGCTGTGTGGTCTGGCCTGTGGTGGGGATTGCTCACTCCCAAGGTACTCCTCCTGACTTCTATCCACTGTATATGAATATGAGACCGTCCATGCTGCCTGTGCTGCCCCTGCCGCTGCCTCTACATGCCACACCACCTTTCTGCCCCTCCTACCCATTCGGATGAATGTGGCTTCTTTAAATCCTTTTTTGTCAGACTTCCATACAGTTTGATTTTCTGATGGTTCTGGGTGTTATTTGATTTTTGGGTCTGGTTGTAATTCTTTCTACAGTTGCGCAAGGAGGCAAAGCATGTTTACGCCTCCATCTTGACTGGAGGTCCATATTTATCCCTTAAGGGTCCCATGCCATGCGTCCTCAAGAGCCAAGTATGCTATTTGTGACTGTGCTTTGGATCTTGCCACATTTGAATCTCATTCAGAGTTGAAAAATGTGTGCATCTTTGAGTCCTAATAGCTTCTTTTTAAAGTAAACTACATGAATCAGTTTTCGCCCTAACCTGTGTCCATCTCGCCAAAAGCATTTTTGTTTCTAAGTGGAATAATTAGACATGTGAGCTTTGGAATTTTCTGAGGAGAGCACAGGTATAAGAAGCGTGTGTTAGGCCCTGAGTGGTGTGGCTCAGTTGGTTTGGCATCACCCCGCAACACAAAGGGTTTCTGGTTGATTTCCAGCCAGGGCATATGCCTGGATTGTGGAGCGCAAGAGGCAGCCCATTGGTGTCTCTCTCCCCTCACTCGTACTCTCTTTTCTTCTAATTATAAGTAAATAAAAATATTTTAAAAATAAAGAAGAGTCTGTTAGGATGAACACTGTTCTAGGAGATGTAAAAAGGAGAATAGCCCTGGCTGGCATGGCTCAGTGGATTGAGCTCCAGCCTGTGGACCCGAAGGTCCCCCGTACCATTCCCGGTAGGGCACAGGCCGCCGGGTTGCAGGCCAGGTCCTGGTCAGAGGTGTGGCAAGAGGCTCTCGATTGATGTTTCTCTCACACCTTGATGTTTCTCTTTCTCTGTTTCTCCCTTCCCCCTCTCTAAAAGTAAATAAATAAAAACAATTTCTTAAAGAAAAAAACCCAAATTCTCTTTATTTGTGTATTGGCGTCTAGATTTCTCTCCCACATGTAAGATGCTGGGCTTAGACAAAGAAGTACCTACCATATGTATGGGTAGTGTGCATGTTTAAATAATCTTTTTTCACAAAAATCATGTTTTGTTCTGTTTTGTTTTTACATAAGAATCGAGTATGTTTTCCAACCATGGAATCAAACTATCTTATACTCTCATTACCTTGTGCTCATGGGAACTGAGAGCCAAGGTGTGTGAGGGGCGGGCGCAGATTAGTGCCTTGGGCTGGGGGCGCGTGCATGTGGAATCCACTGACTTTGGCTTTTGGTACACTTTTGCCTCAGGACAGAACTAAGCAATCAAGGCAAGATATCCTAATTGGTTAAAATCTATCGAGAAGCTTTTCAACCTTTCTCCTGCTTGCCACTCTGGGGGTCCAAAGCGGTAGTCTTGTTCTGGCTAGGGAAGAGAGGTTAAACTCTTGCCTTTCCTTCTGAAAAACATTTTCTGTGGGGCCACACACTCTATGTCATAGTAGGGTTTTTAATGCCACGCTTAACATTTACTTTATATTGTTGATCCACAGTAATATTTAGAAAAAGTCAAAGTAGTTTGCACTTGTTGAAATTTTACCTCTTTTTCTCATCTTTTTTTGTAATTTCAGGAGATTCCTCAACAGCTGAACGGGAGTGATTGTGGAATGTTTACTTGTAAATATGCAGATTATATGTCTAGGGACAAACCTATCACATTTACTCAGGTGAGTGAAGACCCTCATCCACTTGTTACTAAACAAGATAAACTTAGAGCACGTTACAGGGCCTGGCACATGTGAAGACGCTAATAATAGTAGCTGTGCTACTGCCGCTGCCGTAAGCCTTGGCTGTAGCCCCACTCTCACGGGTATGAGGGCTGGTCACTGCATCTGCTCTGAGGCTTATCCTCCCTAATCATTCGTGGCTGTTGGGTCAAGTCACTGTCTTTCAGCTCCAGGGTGCGTTGGTTTGTCTGAGTGTTACCGGCATTTTTTCTGAAGGAGGCATAACAGCAGGGGGATATTAGGCTTTGTGAGAACTTAAGCCACAAGTGTAAGATGTAACTATGAATACTGCTTTTCTCTTGTGTTCCAGTTATTATTGGTTTTCCATTGCTCTGTATTTGAGTGAACATTAAAATATGTTGGGAACTCTTGAGAATTTATGTTTGTAATAATGGGATTCTCAATGGTTTTACAACCAAGGACAATCCCCTTTAAAAATATTTTTCTTAAAAAGACCTCATTTTGATATAGATGTCTACCAAACTCTACTTCCTGAATAGTCGGCCTGGTAACCCCCTTCCAACCTCAGGGCTATGTGAAGTAACTAGGGCTCCACGCTGAATGAATACAATTCCAGTCTAAAATAAGGGCACTTGTTATTGGTTAGTTTCAGAGTAAACGAACAGTTTTTTACTACATGTTTTGAGCTATTTAAAATGTACAAAGCCATGTATAAAGACTTTCTAGGTCCCTCCAGGTAGGAAATCACTGTAGGTAGGTGTGTCCAGCTGTTTATAATGAGACACCAGGACAACCTCAAAGGCACAAACTTCTGGTTTCATCAAAAAGAGGACTAGTTGAATTACAGGTGAATTTGTATTTATCATGTATGTTTGCTGCTTTAAAATTGCCCCTATAGTGATTATCAGTTAAAGCAGAAAAACATTAAGCAAAGCATTTCATTCTTTGGTGCTTCTAAATAACAGCCAGTTATTTTTTCTGAACCTGATGACATGAGATTTGAAGGGGAGAAGTTGCCACTTGAACAATACTACAAGCGATGCACCCACATTTCATAGAGCAGAAAGAAATCTGTGGATTTTTTTTTCTTAAATAGAATTCATGCTTTTATTAAAAAGCAGAATATGTTAATTTAAGCAGAAAAGATCTATTGTGCTACCACTTGGATATTCCCATTTTTGGTATGCATTTTTGTTATCAGGCTGTTGGACTCTATTATATAAATCTGTACCCTGCTTTGATTTTCCTGAACATATAAAAACACTAGTGTACACTCTAATAAACACTATAAACCTTTCTTACGGCTTCATAAGTCAGTGCCAGGCTGTGAACAGTCAGGGCTTTCCTAGAGGCTGTGAGCACCCTGCTGGATTTACATGACTGCACCTAGAGGCTGTTGAGGCTGTGCAAGGAAATGTAACGTCTGTGTTGTTGGTGGATTCTCTGCAGCACCAGATGCCTCTCTTCCGGAAGAAGATGGTGTGGGAAATCCTTCATCAGCAGTTGCTGTGAGAACGCCCTACCCAGTCCCTTAGCTGCTGGTGGTTCTTTCTTGGAGGGACATTTTCATATACCTCATGCATTGTGGGTTAAAAAGTCCCTGCATCACCTGTTCCGTCACAGGTACTGACGAGCATGAAGGCCCTGCACCCTAGTGCCCCGACTTGGTATGCGGAGGGCTGCCTGCAACCGTGTTTGAAAGGATATGCTTGCTCAGAGCTCTGGACTCTTCAACCCACATAGGAACAAACGCTAATTAATACTTTATTTTAAATATTTTTCCCCCCTGTGAATGTGTAAAATGCAGGATTTATTCTATGAGTTGTTTTTTTCTGTGTTTGTTCATGTGTATTCATTCTCTGACTCATTTGCAAACGTAATGGGCAGTGGCCGTTTCTGCTGCTCTCTTACAGTTAACTTGGAATTGTTTGAACTATTTATTTCTGAAAAGAATGTTAATCAAGCTTCCACTGCCTGCTGAAGATGGGGTGGGAACTCAGTGGGGGGAGGAAGGAAGGAAGGAAGTGTTAATTAACTTCTTTAGTGCTGGAGCAGTAACTGCCAACTTGAAGCTTGAGGTCTTTCTTTGAGGCTTGAAAATGCGGGGAGAAGCGCTGCGGTGCAGGGCTCTGATCGCTCTTCAGAGGAAGCCTGAGGCGCGGCATTGGCACTGTGTCATGGAAAAGCGGAACTGTGGCCAAGAAACTCTGGCTACCCAGGCATCTTCAGAAGAGTGTCGTGGTCATCCTACAGAGACTTTCCTTTCTGGAAATGAGGTGATTGCTCTCGAAACTGGATTTGAAGTAACCGTAAACCCTAAATTTTCATTTTCATCCCAGATCTGGTAGAGTGTAAACCTCAGAATTGTAAGGGCTGGCCTGAGCTGTTTATTTCAAAAGATGCTATTCAATTTAAAGCTATTTTTCCTCAGAATTTTTTTTTCTATATAGAAAGCTAAAATTAAGTTTTGTACTCATTAGGATTTAAACCCCCCACTCCACCCCTACTGAAATTTGTGGAAGAAAATTTAGTATTTGGCTCTGAGGTTACCGGTTATACGATAATCTATTTTGCATATGAAAGTTTGTATTTAACATTTTTGTTCATTAAAAACTTTACAGTGGTTATGCATTTTTAATTTCAGAAAGTTTAGAGTTCGTCAGAACTTATTTTGCAAGATCTAGTGCCTAGTGTTGCTTTTCCGATGTAATAAAAGGTTGCCTGGCAGAACCTGAAAAGTATACGCTGAAATGATTTCTAACCCTTTCCCAAAATAAACTCCTGAACTTGTCCTGCCTGGTACACAAAAGCAAGAGGTAGAACCAGAAAAAACTGGGCACGTGTTAGCTATGAATCAGCATGTCTGCCATCTGGAGGGCCCCAGGCTGCTGGCCACAGAGGCGTGCTGTTGCGGCCAGTTTTCCCTGAGACATGTGAGTCTTGTGTGGGCCCTGGGGCCTGCGATGCGGATGGGAACTGCTGTCCCTATTCAATGGCCAAACCGGAGGACGTGTGCTCAGGGGATGATTGAAGAATGAGCCACTGGTACTACCTCTCCCTCAGGCTTAGGCTGCACAGGGGACCCTTCCTGCAGCTTCCGTTCCTTTCCGGGGCCTGCCGGAGTGGGACCAGTGAATACTGGGACCAAGCAGCCAAAAGAGGTTTACTGGGTCAGCAGTTACACTAGAAACCTGGTTCCCACCGGGCAGAGGCAGGTCTCACCTGAGTACGCAGCACCTTGGTTAACATTTGTTCCATGTGGGGGAAATCCTGCCAGGAATCGCAGTTTGCGTTCTGCCCGTGTGAGGGAGGCTGGAGGTTGGTGTGTTTGTGCTGCATTTGAGGGGCTTCCTAGAGCAGCTCTCACTGGGCGTTCCCCTGATGTGTGCTCCTCAGCGCAGCTCCTCGCAGTCTCCCAGGACATGACATCGATGAGCACAGGCCGTTGAGTTAGGAATGGCGTTCTACTTAACCCTGAATGCCTGAGGTTGTGTAGGCTTCTTCTGTAGGCACTGGCATGTGTCTCATGGTGCAGAGAAACTTGTTGGTAATAGAATTTTTGTGTCTAAACAGTTTATGAGAAAAGCAGTCACATGATATGAAACAGGTATTGATTTTATCAACATTAAAGCCAGTGAGACGTAGTACAGGGTCTGGCACAAATAACGCCCCTTTTCAATGACAAAATCCTAAGCATGTGATTCTTTAACATAACAATATCACACTCAAACATACCATATGACATTTTAGGTGAAATGTTCAAATTAAAACTAAATTATTACATCCATATTATTACCCTACCAACCACATTCAAGCAGGGCTCACTTCTGCCATAGCCCTATATTTTATAGTAGTTTGGGGGTTCTGAAAAAAAGGTGGAGTGAGCCATTGATCTTTTTTAGTAGGCAACCTCTCCTAAAGATGGATTAAAATGGAAAAAAGACCGTTGGTGAGCAAATGTCTTTCTCATGTTTGACCTTGCACCAGAGTCGGGATGCCGGTGGGAGGGAAACAGACTCAGGCCTCGTGGAAGGCGTTCTGGAGAGCCCTGCATTCTACCTCAGCTGCCTAAGGCTGTTAGAGCTTCTGGTCGTTCCTCCTCCGAAACCTGAAGCACAAGGCGGGTGGCCCTGTCCGCTGGCGGGTGTCTGCCTGCCCTGCGAGGAGTTGCGTGGTGCCGGGACCATGGTGCGGGTGTGGGGAGAGTGTGTGCATGAGATACACCGAAGCTGTGATACAAATAAATGAAGTAGAGAAATTTAATAACCTTAGTACTGTAGTTCAGCCACATTGTTTAAATTGGCTTTTGTGAACTAATTGGCAGCCTAATTTCTTTATGATAGTTTCTTTGAGAAAACCTCTAAGGATCCATTAAACAAACGTTTGGTACTTGTTTGTAAGTTGGGGATCTAGTTGGTTGTATTGCTTTGATTTTTTTTCTTCAAATTTCCCTAATATATACAAGGAAAGGGTTTGGGTGTTGGAAATAGGTGTCGATTTTACCTATCAATAAATCCATCTCTTTAATTCAGTGGCTTTCTTTTTTTATTATTGCGACTCATTAATAATTGCATTTCATATTGTGAACAATACAGACATGCAAATAATGTACACAAAAGTTTTGCCAAAGCATTACTTGCTCCCCTCTGAATTTTATTTTGGTATTTAAAATAAAGTACATTGTGACCACGTTGATTTCTAAACCCACTAGTGGATGGAAATCTAGTTTGAAAAACACTGCTCTAAATGAACTGACAGCAAGGTGCGAATTATGTTCAAAACTAAAGCTTGAGACTACAAAGATATGATAAATGGGGCTGTTTTGAGATGAATCAGTCTAGGAAAACAAGCCAGAAGCTCAGCGGAAATATGTGGAATCAAATCCTTATTTTTCAGGGTTTTACATTGGCATTTCCTGAAGTATGTTAAATAAAAGTCCTATTCTTTCTCTATAAGACATAAAACAAAGGGTTCTGTGACCCAATGAATATGTGTACCAAGTGATGCGTAGTAAACACACTGTATTAATATGTCAATCTAGCAATTCTGAAACTTGGATATTAAGCCCTTCCCTGTGACACCTGTGGCGCCATCGTATGGAAACACTTTGGAAAATGTGGAGAAGCAACGCAGAATTCTTGGAAGCATGCACATCAGATACATACGGGGGGGCGGGGCACCCTCCCCTACCCACCTCCAAGCACACACACCGCCTCCTTAGGATCATGTGGTAATACTCAAGTCTGTGGTTCCCACTTACATTTTCTTTGTAAATTTTTAAAAATTGTGTTATTAGAGTTCTCCCAATTTTCCCTGTGGCTCTCCCTTGCTCCACTCACCCGCATTTTCTTTAATTCTACCTATAATAGGTGTTTATAGTAAAAAAATAAAATACTGCTAAAAGGTAAAAAGAATTTTGCAAACTCACCACCCAGAGTTAATGACTTACTGATAATTTGGTATGAATCCTGGTCTTCAATACGTACTCCTTCATATTGTGTGAGTGTGTGTTGTGTATGCTTGTGCATGTATTTGTTAATATGGACTGATAGGTATAAAAGCTATATAACCCTTTCCACTTAATTTATCTTGACTATAATTTCATGTCAAATATTGACATTTTTAGGTATATATTATTGATTATGCTGTTACAGTTCTCCCAGTTTTTCCCCATTTGCCACCCTCCACCTGGTACCCTCATTCCTTTCAGCATACCCCTCACTTAGTTCATGTCCATGGGTCGTACATATAAGTTCTTTGGCTTCTCCATTTCCTATACTATTCTTAACCTCGCCCTGTCTATTTTGTACCTACCATTTATGCTTCTTATTCCCTGTACCTTTTCCCCATTCTCCCCTTCCCAGCTGGTAACCCTCCAAATGATCTCCATATCTATGATTTTGTTCCTGTTCTAGTTGTTTGCTTAGTGTTTGTTTTTTTTTTAGATTCAGCTGCTGATAGTTGTGAGTTTGTTGTCATTTTAATGCTCCTAGTTTTTATCTTTTTCTTAAGTCCCTTTAACATTTCATATAGTAATGGCTTCGTGGTGATGAACTCGTTTAGTTTCACCTTGTCTGTGAAGCACTTTATCTGCCCTCTCATTCTAAACGATAGTTTGCTGGATAGAGTAATCTTGGTTATAGGTCCTGGCTTTTCATCATTATGAGTACTTCTTGCTAGCCTCTTCTTGCCTGCAAAGTTTCTTTTGAGAAATCAGCTGCTAGTCTCATGGGAACTCCTTTATAGGTAACTCTGCCTTTTTCTCTTCCTGCTTTTAAGATTCTTTAACCTTTACCATTTTAATTATGATGTATCTTGGTGTGGTCCTCTTTGAGTACAATTTGTATGGGATTCTCTGTGCCCCCTGGACTTGTATGGTTATTTCCCTTGCCAAGTTAGGGAAGTGTTTTTTCATTATTTTTTCAAATAAGTTTTCAGTTTCTTGCTCTTCCTCTTCACCTTCTGGCACCCCAATGATTTAGATGTTGACACTTTTGTAGATGTCCCAGAGTCTACAGATTGTTAATTTGAACTCTGGCTTCCTTCCCTTCACTGTTCATTCCCTGTGGATTTTTCTTTATTTCACTTACTGTAGCCTTCATTTCTTCCTTTATGCTTTTGCCGTACTCAATGAGTTCTCTGAGTATCCTTATCACCAGTGTTTTGAACTCTGCATCTGGTAGGTTGGCTATCTCTGTTTTGTTTAGTATTTTTTTCTGGGGTTTTGTTCTATTTCATTTGGGCCATATGTCTTTTTCTCCTCAATTTGGCAGCTTCCCTGTGTTTGTTTCTGTGTATTAAGCAGAGCTGCTTTGACTGCCTGTCTCAGTGGACCTGTTAAGTTGTATGGGGAGGAGTCTTAAGTATGCACCAGGGTGGGGCAACCTGCTTCCTTGTGGCTCTGTATGTGGGGGAGGAGTCAGTGAGGTGACAGTGCCGATGCCTGGTTGCTGGAGGCTTGATCAGCACTTGCCCCATTTCCACTCACTCCATCCACTTCCCATCCATTCCACCTTCTAGGTGTTGCCCTGGTGGTGGTTCCTGGAGTGGGTGGGTTTAAGTACATTTTAGAACCATGAGGGCCCTTTAAATGGACTCTCCTGAGAGATCAGCAGTGTCTTCTTCCACCCCACCCACACTGGCTATTACAGCCAGAAGTTAGGAGGCTTTGTTTTCCAGGCCCTGGAACACTGGGCTGCACGGTCTGGACTGGGGCTGGGATTGCTCACCCCCAAGGTATCCCTTCCCAATTTTTATCCACCACACATGAATGTGGGGCTGCCCGCCGTTCTGCTGACCACCACCTCACCACCACCACATCCTGTCCTCTCAGCCCCAGCTTCCCATATTTGCCCCTCCTACCCATCTGGATGAATGTGGCTTCTTTAAATCCTTGGTTGTGAGACTTCCATACAGATTGATTTTGTGGCAGTTCTGGGTATTTTTTGTTTTGAGGTTGTGATCCTTAATTGGTTGCACAAGGGGGTGAAGCATGTCTACCTACACCTCCATCTTGACCAGAATTCTACACAATCTTAGCCAAAAGGCTGAGAAGCGATTTACCAGAAGTCTAAATACTGACATTTTAATTGCAGCACAGTGTTCCAGTCAATGACTAAAAACATGATTAACTTAGTACAGTGTTGTTGGAAACACCATCCTGCACAATGTTTGGGTTATTCACTTAGGAGAAATTCTTAGAATTATTTCTGAGTTAGGGTTATGTATAACAAAAAAA